GGCTTGTTTAGTTAACACTCGAAGGTGATTGGGCTCTCGGGCGAGATCCCAATTCGTCAGTCACGACTGACGTAACGTCTCCGTTCCCTCCTTCAGGGAACGAGCGTTACACAAGTAACCGAGACGTTCCCTTTCAATCAGTCACGTTCGATGTTATGTCAGTCGTGACTGACGAATTGGGATCCGTATGGAAAACGTCACTATTGCTGACCCCCTCCAGTGCCCTGCGAAAGCTGGCAAGTCCCCCCACGCCAGTTGGGGTGGAAGATAGGACAGGGCTTAGGCAGAGATATCCGCCACTGCCGTTCCACACAGTGGGATATTGGATAACACTGGGAAAGCGTACCAAGTAGGGGAACGCTACGGAAGCCACATCCTGCGTATAGGAGGTATCATGTGGAAGTTACACATATGAACTGGCCATAGGGTAGTGCTACATATGGAAGTCCCTGCAGTAAACTCAGCCCACCTGGGGTGAGATCACTATGCAGCAGAGACTGCAGAGAAATCTCTGCTAGGGAAGACACGGGCTTACCAAGAGGGAAGCCGTACCGTGGAAGAATACACATGTGGGATCACCCGAAGGGGGAATCACTACACACGGGCACCTAGCCCAGCACAAAGGCTGACCTTAAGCATACACACGAGTGCTGGACCTGGCGTCTGGCGCTCCGCCACGCCTGACCGCCGAGGGTGCCGCAGGAACTTCAACATGGTTCACCAAAAGGGAAACTTAACTGAGAAGCACTTAAGCGCAAGTATCTGGTCCGTAGAGGGGAATGGCGCAGCAAGCATGATCGACACCGAGCGGGTCCAGTGTTACTGACCCTCTAAGGTAAGTACACGAGAGGACACGGGCTCTACACAGAGATTATAGGATCTCGCAAATGTGTTAGGTGTCGCCCAGCCGGCAGCTCTGCAGATATCTGCTATCGAGGCGCCCCGCGCCAATGCCCAAGAAGATGCCACTCCACTCGTAGAGTGTGCTCTCACTCCGAGGGGGCAAGGTAAACATTGGGCCTGGTATGCCAAGACTATAGCCTCCACTATCAGAGTGGGCAAGTCTTTGTTTGGAGACAGCCTTTCCCTTCTGCTGTCCTCCAAAGCAGACAAAGAGCTGGTCTGAGGTCCTGAAGCTCTGTGTACGGTCCACGTAAATGTGCAAAGTGCGAACAGGACAGAGCAGAGCAACGGCTGGGTCTGCCTCCTCCCGGGGCAGTGCTTGCAAGTTCACCACCTGATCCCTGAAAGGCGTGGTGGGAACTTTGGGGCACATATCTGGGCCGGGGTCTCAGGACAACGTGAGAGTCGGCCAGTATGAATTCCAGGCACATGTCGTCGGCTCTACTGACTGCAGAGGTTCGAAGGGCTCCTCCTTCAAGGCCATCAGGACCGAGGGGAAATCCCAAGAGGGTAATAGGTGGGGGCGCGGAGGATTCAGCCTCCTCACACCCCTAAGGAACCTGATGATCAAGTCATGCTTCCCAACAGACTTGCCGTCTACTGCATCGTGATGCCTACTGCATCGTGATGTGCGGCGATAGTGGCGACATACACTTTGAGGGTGGAGGGAGACAGCCTTCGCTCCAGCCCTTATTGCAGAAAGGAGAGCACGACCGCATTCGGGCATCTACAGGGGTCTTCCTGCTGGGAAGAACACCAATCGACGAACAGGTTCCACTTCAGCGCGTAGGCGTGCCTCGTAGAGGGGGCTCTAGCTGAAGTGATGGTGTTTACTACCGCTGGAGGTAGATCACCTAGAACCTCCGCATCCCGTCCAGAGACCACACGTGGAGATTCCACAGGTTTGGGCGCGGGTGCCAGAGGGTGCCCCCTCTCTGAGAAAGGAGATCCTTCCTCAGAGGAATACGCCAAGGAGGGGCTGTCGCGAGGAGCATCAGTTCTGGGAACCAAGTCCGACTGGGCCAGTATGGCGCTACTAAGATGACCTGCTCCTCATCCTGCCTGACCTTGCACAATGTCTGTGCGAGAAGGCTCACTGGGGGAAACGCATACTTGCGTAGGCCCCGAGGCCAGCTGTGTGCCAGAGCATCCTTGCCGAGGGTCCCCTCGGACAGGGAGTAAAACAGCTGGCAGTGTGACGTGTCTGGAGAGGCAAACAGGTCTACCTGAGCATCCTCGAAGCGTGTCCAGATCAGTTGGACTATCTCGGGGTGGAGTCGCCATTCTCCCGGAAGGGCGGGCCGGCGTGAGAGCTTGTCGGTTGCAGGATTGAGCTTGCCTGGGATGTGAACGGCGCGAAGCGACCTCAGATGCTTTTGACTCCAAAGGAGGAGATGGAAAGCGAGTTGCGACATGCGACAGGAGCGTAGACCGCCCTGGTGGTTGATGTATGCAACGGTCACAGTATTGTCCTTTAGGACCAGTACGTGCTTGTCGTGTAGCAGCGATTTGAAGCTATTAACTCGAGGCAATTGATACGCCACTGCAGACGAGGCACTGTCCAGGTGCCCGATGCTGCACGCCCGTTGCACATGGCACCCCAGCCCATGGCAGAGGCATCTGTTGAGACAACAATATGCCTGGACACTTGTACTAGGGGAACTCCCGCCCGAAAAAAGGCAAGGTCCGACCACGGGCTGAAGGTCTGGCGGCAGGACGGGGTGACTGAGACCCGGTGAGTGCCAGGCGTTGCCATGCCCATCTCGGGACTCGGTCGTGAAGCCAACGCTGAAGCAGTCTCATATGAAGCAATCCGAGTGGCGTGACAGCGGCAGCAGATGCCATATGCCCCAGGAGCCTCTGAAACTGTTTCAGTGGGACCGCCCTCCTGCGCTGAAATGACTCCAGGCAGTTCAGCATCGACTGGACACGTTCTACTGAGAGGTGTACTGTTAGATTGACCGAATACAACTCCATACAGAGAAAAGAGATCCTCTGCATGGGGGAGAGTTTGCTCTTTTCCCAGTTGACCCGAAGCCCCAACCGGCTGATGTGGCTGAGTACCACGTCACTGTGTTCGCACAACTGTGCTCGAGACTGGGCCAGTATGAGCCAGTTGTCGAGATAGTTGAGAATGCGAAT